CTTTGGGCGGTGTTGGGGCGCACTCCCAGAGGCGGTGACTCACCCAAGACCAAGAGCGGGAAAGGGCCATAGCGCAGTCCCACGTGTAACACGGGCCACAAGGATGTGTGGCGTGAAAAGCCTGCGAGGAAAGGTGGCTCAACACGTCCAACAGCCTCTCTAGGGGTGTCCGCGTGGCGCGGTGCTAGGGCCCGCTGACCGACCTGCCACAGTCCACCCCACCCCCACACGTGGCCTAGACAACCCCAGAGGAAGAGACTGGGGAGCGCTGGCACCCGAGGCGAAGGGGAGTAACACCCCGGAACACTTAGGTTGGGCTCCACCTGGAACTGATACAGGACAGGGCAAATTTCCCCTAGTGATAGGGAGAGGAGGGTCCTATGGCGGAGAGTGAAGAAAGAACCAACACACGCGCCAAAGTTAGAGTCAAATGGAAAGTTCATTAGAAATGGGGTAACACTCCATAGACAGTGTGGTCCCTCTACAAGCCCTTTGAACACAGGCACCCACAAAGACCCCTCCTTCCAGTTATCCGTTTACCATCTTGTCTGTCCTAGTCCACAGAATATCAAATAAAGGGGCAAGGGCCTCTTTGTGACCCCAGCCGCCCCACCAAAACTGCACAGTACACTTATTCTAAACATTTCGAATACAAACTACTTCAAATTCAATAATTTGACAGCGAAAAGTCCTTTTCTCACCTCAGTCCTTTACTTGCCCATTCATCGCCCAACACCTAAACAGCGAAAGGAACCACTGTCCTTCCCAAGGCTTTTGAAAGGAAAGGATGATAACAATTACTCAATACAAGGTATAAAAACGTTAAATTCAAAAATCGCTTCCCAATGGAACACTGATTATATCAGTTTTCCGGAGTTGCTATAACAATCCCACAAACTGGGTGGCTTACACAACAAATGTATTGTCTCAAAATTCTGGAGGCTAGAAGTCCAACATCAGGGTGTTGGCAGGCTTGGTTCCACCTGAGGGCGGTGAGGGGAGAGTCTGTTCTGTGACACCCCCCTCCCCGCTCCCGGTGGCCGGCTGGCCATTCCTGGCGTTCCTTGGCTTGCAGAAGCGTCACCCTGCTCTCTGCCTTCGTCTTCATGTGGCTTCTCCTGTGTGTCTTTCTCCACATTTTTCCTATTTATGTATGAAGACACTGGTTGTACTGGGTTAAGAGCCCATTCTATTCCAGTATAATCACACCTAACTAATTATAACTACGACAACCTCATTTCCAAATGAGGTCACAGTCCGAGGCACTAGAGCTTAGGAATTCCACATATGAATTTTAGGGGTACACAAGTCAATCCATAACACGGATCTTCAATTTGAAATGGATGTATGATATCTTCATTGACTTATCTAATTTAGCAGTTTGCTTTTCTCTGCCAGGGTTTGCCTTTCGAAAGCTTCACCTGCCCTCAACTAGAGCTGAAGTACTC